GCACGGCGGGGACATGGCTCTAGTGCTGGCGCTGGCGCTGCAGGCGCTCGGGCTCCTGACGGCCCGCGCGCTGGGGCAGACGCCGGAGCCGGCTGTGGGGCGGGAGGAGGTGAAGATCGAGGTCCTGCACGTCCCCGCCGACTGCAGCCCGCGCAGCAGGAGGGGTGACATGCTCAACGCGCACTACGACGGGTACCTGGCCCGCGGCGGGGCCCGCTTCTACTGCAGGTGAGCGCGGGCGGGCGGCCCTGGCGGCTCGCCTCCGGCCGGGGCAGGCCTCGGGACCTCGTGCCCACGGTATACACCGGCCCGCCCCGGGTTATGTCCCGCTGCTGCCTCCCTCGGGCCTCTGCCACACGCCCGGCACGGGTGGGGCGGTTGATTCAGTACTGAAGTCGTAACCCTGGCACGCGTTGAAGCCATGAAAGGAAAATGAGGGGTGAGCTGCAAAGTTGTTCCACAAAAAATGTGGAATAATTTAGCTGCTGGTTCCTGTCACACCACTAATTGAACCTGTGGCCACGTGCATGCTGTCAGTAGGGGAGGGGGCTCCCAGCCATCTTGCACCTGGGAGCCCTGTCAGTTTATGGGGCTGACAATCGTGGGGGCACACCCTGTGTTCCCCCAGCTGGGAGCCCAGATCAACTGACAGGGCTCCCAGCCAGAGCACCACCTGGTGCACCCCAGCTGGGGGCTTGCAGCCGCAGGAGCTGGTTACTTGGCAGTGCGGGGTGATCCTGGGCTCCCCTTGCACCGGCAGCAAGGAGTGATGGGATCTGGTGTGCAATCCCATGGTCATCCATGTGTGTCGTGGCAGGAAGCACAATGGTATGGATCATGCATCAGATCTCATTGCACAACTAGAGGGTCCCTTATAGACATGAATGTACATAGATATAATATACATCCCCAGCCAGCACAAACACCATTGCATGGCAGGCAAGGTTTTTTGGGTAGATGTGGTATTTTTTATTAAACCAGCTCAGTAGTTGGAAAAAAGTTCTTTGCCAGCTTTCAGGCACAAACTCTGCACAAACACCCATTTTCAGCAGTGCCTGAAAGCTTGCAAAGAACTTTTTTCTAACTGTTTACTTGGTCTAATAAAAGATATGACATCTACCCAAAGAACCTTGTCTGCTTGTGTCCTTAGACCAACACAGCTACAACCAACAACCCAACACTATTGCATAGCATTTCTGCTAAAGAAGCCCATGAAGATCGAGGACTTGGTTACACAAAAGAGTTGTATGCCTTCCTGTATTTAAATCATTCCTTTGGGAGGCTACTTCTGCTTGAAGTTTTCTTGTGTAGGCAGGATCTTCTGCATACATCTAATTTTGTTTACAATGTACCAGAGGTAGGTGGTTGTTTTTTTCCAGGGTGAAGGCCGTAATAGGCATCTGCCACCGATACAAAGGTCTGTATTTGCTGATAAATAACTGGTTTTACTATGCATCAACACACACATTAATGCAGAAAACTGAATTTAAAGAATTTTAAAGTCTTTCTGGTATTGCCACTCAGAGCCCAGTGTAGAAGCAGCATAGGATAAACTTACCACATTTACACAAATCCAGGACAAGGTTTTTTCCCCCCTGCATTCAACATGGCAGGGGAGGGAGAAGGGGGCTGAAAAAGCCACTTGTCTTGGATTTGCATGTAAGGCAGAGATAACAGCTCTGACCCCAAACCTGGAGTTGGAGTCAGAGCCATAGCTGCTGCCCCCACCATCTCTGCCCCACCACTGCTTACCCTATTGTCCTGGGTTCAGCTCCATCCCAGGTTATGGAGCATGTGCCCACTACAGTCCCTGCCTGGCCACACAACAGTAGTGGCTTGTACAGGCCCAGTGCACAGATCCAGCATGCAGAATCGAACCCAGTGTGTGACCTGAGACCTGACACACTGGATTAATTGATTGCCTCTCCCAAAATGTAAGATTTTTTTTTTCTTCAAGCTGTGTAAAAATTAGGGTCTGTATTATTTTCTGGGGTATGCTATGTATAAGAAAATAAAGTAGGCTACATCTTTAATCAGAAATCATTCACTTACAGACTCTTTGAGCTATAATAGGTTAACCATCAGATTTTTCTTTAGAGACCCAAAACAAATCACTTTTATTACCTGCTTTGTTCTATATTTGCACCTACTTATTCTTCTGGCATTGGCATGTCTGCCTTGCAGCATTCCTCCACCGACATAGCCCAAAATACTTCCTGCCCACCTGCTCCTGCATGTATGCTCTAAATCCAGAAGTACATCAGTGATAAGGCTCCAAGATCATCCCCATCAGCTATTCTGAAGGTACTTTATAGGGGAAATCCGATTTGGCCCATAGTGTCTGCCTCGGTCAGACTCAGTGTTCAGGACCCAACCTGCTGTGGGAACGGCCAGGCATCATGCAGATCCTATGTGATCCACAATTTTGCAGCAGAACAACTATACTGTTGTAGGATTGGAGAAAACTCAAGAAAGGATCATTTCTAATGTTTTGTTCTTTGAATGTTTTTGTTCTCTATATACAGCTCCTCTGTATGGAGGAGCAATTTTAGCGGTTAATTTTTAGTTAATCATTAACAAAGTCCTGTGAAATCTGGGAGTTTGCTTGCATATACAACTTCAGATTTGATCCCTAGTTTGTAGTAAATTATACCAGAAAATAACACAGTACCTTAATATATTATGATATTTATCAGAGGTTACAAATTTTTAATTTTGACATACATTTTAATGTGTCATAATAAAAAGGTATACTTAAAATTCAGTAACTACAAGCTTGTAAAAAAATTAAACACTCAATATGTTTAAATTAATTAATTGATAGTTTTTCTTTCTAAAATGGAATTGTACTGAAATACTAATATTTTTCATTAAGTATTTGAATATTGTTCCTTTTTTACTGTATATTTATTAAAAGTTTTTGGGTTTTGGGTTTTTTCTCTCTTATTTAGTCGGACACAAAATGAAGGCCATCCAAAATGGTTTGTTCTTGGTGTTGGACAAGTAATAAAAGGATTAGATATTGGTATGATGAATATGTGTCCTGGAGAAAAGCGGAAAGTGACAATTCCACCATCATTAGCATATGGAGAGCAAGGATATGGTAAAAAAAACAAAATCCTTAATTTTTAAAATATATGATTTTATTCTTTCTGCCTTATTGCTACCTATCTACAAATATCAAAGAAAGCAAATGTTGCCATTAATTTTAAGACCGGCCATTCAGGACATGTTCAGACAAGCACACACATGCAGTGTGAGTTTGAGATTTTGTGGCATCCCAAAATCTTTTGAGGCACTACAAAATGCATGCATCACACCTGAAACAGTTCTCCATGCTACATTTAGCATTGAGCCAAAATTAAATCCTGGCATCTGAAAAAAAAAGGGGTGGTGCCTGTGGGTGCAGCATGTGCTGCCCAAAACTAGAGCCTGGCCAGCCAGAGCTACACTTTGGCTGCCAGCCAGGCTCTGCATGCCAGCATCATTGCCACTGAAGCCCCAGGTGCAGGCCCCACATCCTCCCCTACCCCGTCCAGGGCAATTTGCCATGCACCAGAGCACACATGCAGGGGCATAGTTGTGCTGCTGCTATTTCTCTCCAGGGAAATGCATGTGCGCATTCCTCTGCACATGTCCCCAGTCTTTCCACTTTATGTTCTGGCTAAAACTACAAGGTCTGATCATGCAAACTTTTATGCAGCATGAGTAATCTGTACATATACCACAAACTAAATTAAGTGAATTGCTCACGTGCATGAGGCCTTCCCACGTGGGTAAAGATATACAGAATTGAATGTATAAGAATGAATTCATGCTAATGCCTTTCCTGTGCTAGCCCTGAACTTTTGTGATAGGAGCACTACAATTGGCAGCAGGGCCTTCCATGGTCTCCTGGCTGGCCTTTGCTAATTTTTCATCCTTGAGTAGGATTTTCTTAATCCTGTCTTCTGCCTCCACCACAAAAGGGTATATACAGCTACTCTCCCTTGCCTCTAGACAGCAACTGCATGTGAGAGAGAGAGGGTGTGTGCCCCCTGTGTGGAATCACTGTTACAAATTTACATAACATAGATAACAATTCCTTACAATTTAGATTATAATATGAATTATTTTTTTTAAAAGATGAGTTTCTTAAAACTGTTGCTTTATAGAAAGTTTTGGATTTCAGTTATCTGTTTGTGAGGGTACCAGAGACTGCCTTATTCTGAGCTCAATATATATTTAATATTGTCATTACCCTTTTTTCTTGCTATATAACATTCACATTTAACTACTGTTATTTAGGCATTGCCAAAATGGTCCTTTAAAAAAATCTTGTTCCGTGTATGCAAAGCCGTATGAAATTCTGTAGACACTTGGAATTAATATTTGTTTGGCAAAGTGTCTAGGTACTAATTTAACAACTAGTTGCATCAGCCAGGGTAATAATTATTATGGTTGTTATCATTCCACTGAATGCAGAAAAGAAAACTTTGAATTTATTACATGTACGTATGTAATTTAAAAGACATGCATAGGTTGACTAAGGACTTGGAGGTTTATCACGAAGTGTTTCAACTGATGGAGTATTGTAACGTATGTTTTTGTAATCCAACTTCAACTGTGAATGAAGTGCATTGATTAAATACAGTGATGTTGTCCCATGCCAAAATTCCATTAACCAGCTGTATCCTTAATGAAATAGCATTGAACTCAGTGCAGTTACACTATAACTTGGCTTATTCATTGTAAGTCATGAACACATCTAGTCATAATGAGAAATTGCTGTTACAAAAGCAGATCCTTAAATCTAATATTAGATGTAACTATTTGTTCCTAGGCAATGCTTGAAGAAAGTCTTTTTTTTTCCCTACAACAATTTTGTTCTGTCTCAACGTATTCCTGCATGCCGGGGAAGATGCCTGCCTAACTTTGAATTAGACAAGATGCATGTGGCTTTCTTAGGTCTTTATGTATCTTTTCCTCTGGTATGTATTATTCTTTTAATTACCTGCACAGAGATCTGTAACTTTGTATCCTATATTTATAAATGTCAGCTGACATGTTGCATATGTGTCTGTGCAGTAAATATTCAAGATTTTTATACACTTGAAACAACTTGTCGCAAAAAAGTCTAAAGCCTGTCATTATCTTTTATTATAGATAACTTGAGTGAGAAATTCCTGTAATATTAGTAATTGTCCTCTACTCTTCAAGAAGAATGCTTTACCTTTTTCTTCAGCTCAATAGGATGTGTTGAAGCTCAGAAATAGATACAAGTTTCTGATTATTAGCATTAGGTGAGCAAGTATATAAGTAGGAGCTAGTATGATTCCATATTAACTGCATGCTGCATGGTTAGCCATTAAGAGTTTTTTTGCCTTAAGTTTAGATCTCAATGATCTGGTCTTCTTGTTTGCCTATCACTTTTTCACCCCCTTTTGGCCAGAAGCATGATACAATGACCTATCATTGTAACTATTATTTTCTTTATATCTTTGATACCAGAAGATACTTTAACATAGAAATGTTTTAGCTCACTTTCCTTCCCTCCTTTAGGATTGAACAGATCATTCTATAGCTCTCTTAAACATGGTGATCTGATGACTTGGATGCTGAATACTTGACCATTTATCTTTCCATAACTACTTTCCAAATTGGTTACATATTTTGACTTACTGGATTTTTATGTGAATACTGCTTAATAGTAGATGCAATGAGTTAGCAAACCTTTTTTGCAGAACTTAGTAACCTTTATAACCTGTTTTGTTTCCTTGTCAAACAAAGAATATATATAAACATTGCTCCATTATAGCAATCCTTTGAAACTAGATATTGATTTTAAATTTAAAAAAATTGAAGGGCATGAATGTAGAATTAATTTCTCAATGATGACATATCATTGAATGACATATAACAGCATGAGGACTTCAAAAGAAGGCTCATGGGTATGAACTGTATACACATTTTGTTTCAAAACTTCCCTTTAAAGAGGGAAGTAGTATATATTTTTATTAGAATTTTATTCAGGTTTTAAACAAATTGGAGTACTGCAGTATTACCCTATTCCTATGGATAAATAGAGGTACAAGTGTATTTACCAGTAATGTGATCTTTAACATTTCTGTGAATCCTAAAATTCTTTTGTGTTCCTAGCGCAAGCCAAGATTCCACCAAATGCAACATTGATCTTTGAAATTGAATTGTATGCAGTGCATAAAGGACCACGGAGTGTTGAAGCTTTTCAGCAAATAGACATAGATAATGACAAAAAACTGTCTCAAGATGAGGTAAAATGCCTTAACTACTTTGGGAGATACCACTTTAATAGAAAAAAAATGCATTATCCCTATATAAACTATCTTGTATCTACTTATCAGTTTGGGTATGCCTACACAGTCCTGCCTTGTGCTGCATAATCATATTCTTTGATAAATATAAAGCTGCATCCCAGATTTGCCAGGGTACAAACTGCAGTGACCAGAGCTTGGGTAGGCTTGTTTTCAAGCAAGCTAGCTTGTTGTACTCGCAGCATAGCTTTGGAAGCACGGAGCTCAGTATTTGTGCTACAGCTCTTCAATTCTTGATCTGTGTATTGGAACTACCAACAAGAGTGTAGTATTTAGGATTGAGATATTTATACCTTATAGACTGGTCAGACAGACCAAATTGTTTAAAGGTATTTGTCATTTATGACTCATTATGTACTATTAACCCATTTTAATAAAGAGGAGGGTATGTGAGGAGGTAGACATTTTAATGCATTTTTTATAAGATTGCCTAATATTTTGTACTTTCGGCGTAATTTTCTATAGCTTCAAGTGTGAGAGCTTCTAGCTCAAACGTAAAATTACATTTGTGGTGTGAATGCCTGTACACGTTTTATCAAGGTGGACTCAAAAATCATCTCAGTTTGATATGTTTTCATTTTTTTCAGATAAGCCAATATTTAAAACGGGAATTTGCCAGAGATGGTAAAAAGCGTGATCCTTCAGATCATGATATTATTTTAACTGATATATTCAAGAAGAATGACCATGATGGAGATGGCTTCATATCTGCCAAGGAATACAATGTCTACCAACATGATGAACTATAGTAAATTATTTATAAAATCTCTTGGCTGCTTTCTGCACACTAAATTCAAGGAATTTTTACAATGAACATTCTTTTTGTCACTTTTTTTTAAAATTTTTGTTGTGGTAATTTTCTAATAGCTCTTAAGAAGATTTTTAAAACCTTGCCGTTAACACTTTAGTAAAAGAATGTGATGCATTTACAAAAGAAATAAAATTGGAAAATGTCATAGTCTGTGTTGCACAATCCTTAATTCAGGTATAAAACATTATGATTATTCTAGACATTACTTAGCTAAAATTAGCCTCTGATCTACAGTACCAGTTCTCACTCAAACTGAGCAGGGTGCTGATCAAACCCATTATTCCCTTTGTATCAGATACAGAGAGGATTTGATGGTAGTCTACTCACAGGAAAGATGGGTTTGTAATTTAGCTGCAGTGGAAATACTTTCCTATCCCCCTCAAACTTCTAAGGAGTTGGAGAAAGCCCATGAAAACTTACTTAGAATGATGAGTTTATTTTGGCTCTAGTTAAAACGTACTGCTGGCCAAGGCAATTACAGTAATACAGCCCTGGATGCTGATTTTGAGGGGCTGTAGAATGGTGGCAGCCACCACTACAACTTGCAACGCAGACATTTCATGTTATACCTCTAAGGAATTGAATAATGTATGCCTGGGAAGTTAAGTTCTGATAGGCTAAGATGTGACCTACCATGGCTGTTTAAACATGGTGCCCTGCAGGCTTCTAGCCCAGGTTCCCCAAAGACAATAGACAAAAAAAAATCATGATAGATTTAACAGGCCAGTGATAGAATTACAGATTGTGAGATGAAGTGTGCTTGTCATAATCATGTTAATGCTTCCAGAAGAAAACCCTCAAGAGCAAAACATTAAAATTGACACTATGACTAGAATTCTATGAATGCACAAAGATTTTTTAAAATAAGTTACAATAACTTCTACAATGTAAACATAATTGCACGTATTTAAAGTAGACTGTTAACAGCAAGTGAAAATTCAATTTTTAACAAAATGAATGGAGCATTCTTTACACTTTTTAAAATATATTAAATTGCAAGTACCTCAAAACAGACATCTACTTTTCTAATTTGTTGTGCAATACAGAGGAAGTGGGAGTATTATGTTATTTAATATAAACATAATTAACTCCATAAACCTGATTCTGGCTTCTCTTACACTGGAAAAGTGTAGTGTAGTAACAGTTATGATTGCTATGTGAGTCATAAATCGAAATATTCTAACTTACTTTTCAGCATCAGCAAAACAAATATTTTTTCCTTTCATTTATAAAGAAAAAAACATTGCTGCTTATTTGAATGTGTAATCTTTAGATCAGTGGTTTTCAACCTGTGGTCTGTGGACCCCAAGAGGTCTGCAGGCTATGGTTAAAGGGTCTGTAAAAGAGGATTATGTTCAATCGAAAGTATGTGAATACCCACATTTAGAAACTCAAAGAGGTCTGCACGTCCATTCAAAAATTTTTAGGGATCAACAAGTGAAAAAAAGTTTGAAAAACACTGCTTTAGGTAAAATATGAAGTTTAAAACTTCAACCAGAACTGGTAGGGCTAGCAAGAAACAGAAAGCCTACCACACCTATTTAGTCTCCCCTCCCCCCTTTTTTTCAAGGGAAGCAGGAATAGACATTTTAATCTCCCTCTTACTTTATAATGACATTAAGAGAGACGTAAACACTTTTGACAGCTGTTCTGGCCAGCAGTGCCAGTTCCAGTGTTCTGAATTACATTCTGCAGTGCCATCTAGTGTATGTACTCCCAATAATGCAAACTACTGTAAGTTGTGATGTTAGACTATCTAGGTCAGGAGTCAGCAACCTGTGGCCTGCAGAACTGTGATTTTGGCAGCATTTGGTGGCAGGACCTCTCCCTCTTGCACACTAGTCAGCTACCTGGGGCTCCAATGGAAGGGGCTGTGCCTGTACCTGTCTGCAGTCAAGCAGCACAGATTCTGGTGGAAGGGGCTTTCATCATGCCACACTGAACAGCTCAGCGGAGAAAAGTGGCAGGAACAGCTGGGTCCCAATGCCTGCCTTTCTCTGATCCAAGCTGAGTCATTCCACTATCCCCCACAGAAAATGCTGCCAAACCCCTACTCTAGGTCACAGACCTTCAGACATGAAATCTAAAAGGATTGATATAATACAATATTGTTAGTGATATAAATTATCGCTATTTTTACCTGTATACATCAAAGACATTAAAGTCAACAGCCAGTCTAACTCAGAATAAAACACATGCAAGTTATCCAAGTTATGCAAAATGTGGGCTAGCTGGTGGTCACAACTAATATAGTCAGAATAAAGATATATGGTAATTACATCCTGATATGAAACCCATATCCTCAGCTATGATCCTTTTCAGTCTTCTCCTTTATAAAAGAAACCTTAAACTGAGCTAACCTCCAATGTGTTTTTAATCTGATACTTCAATTAAACATTTATGACAACACTAAATATTTAACAGATTTTCTCATTTTACCATCATACTCTGATGTAGTTAAGGAAATATCTTTACAAAGAGCAAATTTTGTAAGTCCATTTCAAAATATAAGAAGTTAAAAATTGCTATTTTCTGATTCAGTTTAAAAGTACACGTGTTAGTTACCATGAATGATGAAATGAGAAAGTGCTAGGAAAATGAAAAGCAGTGATATTTTTGACAAAAACCCCTACATGCTAAACTAATTAATATAATTAGCTGTATGTGTAAAATAAAACATCACTTGAAAACAGAAAGTAGTATACTAAAACATTTTGCACTTTTAATGCTTTACTAAGTCACTTTTGGAAAGTTTGTGGCACAGTTATACCTAAGTCTATAACAATAGGCACTGGCACAGATAATTTATCTCACCCTTCTGTGCCAGAGGTCAAAGCAGGGCACAGCATGCAGTCGTACATACTTTTGTCCGTGGAAAGAACACTCGAGACATCCATAAACTGTCTCCCTTTTAGAATGACCCATTCCACAAAGGACACAAGGACCTTTTGGGATGTTGTTATTAAGTAAATTCACTCGGATATGAGACCCTTCTCTGAGATAGCTTGTAGAGACATCAGTCATGCTTGCAGCTTTTTCATAATAATCTGTTAAAAGCTCCTCCAAGTAATCATCTGAGTTAGCAACAGTCTCCAATACCCACTTATCTGAAAAAGAATGCACACAAAAATACCAATGACTTGTCTGCATGTTACGAACTGTCTATGCCACACCATGAAATAACT